TTAGATCTATATAAGTGCATATGCTTCCCATGATTGTTGTATCTCTTTTCTAGTTTCATGTTAACCTGTGTGGTTTGATGGCATTTCTGGGTATGGAAGGCTGTTCCTAAGGCTTGGGGCCCTCAGCATGGAGACATCTTCTCTGAGAGCTTCTCAATCTGTTTCTTTTGTCTACCATGAACTTCTTGAAGATTCAACCTCCAAGAGGGAGGAAGCCTTGATTTTATTATGAGCAACTTACCTGCCAGTAGCGTACTGTACCCTTTTATTTAGGCTGAATTGCCATTCAGAAGAAAACTATTTCCATCAAGTGGTCTTGTTGCTGATTGGGAAATACCACCCATACATACAGAGAGGACTAACATAGCATAATTTAAAGGAATCCTAAATACCTTTATGCCAAAAGCATCAGATTCTTGAATCCAGGGTTGGACTGTGTCCCTGTTAACACCAAAAGCTTGCAATATTTTTCATAAGCTTAGCTCTTATCTGGCCCTATTCTTTTCTTTTCCTTCTTTACTAAAAATTAGTCCAGAAGGATCAAAAATAAGTTTAGGAATCTTCTTTGTCTGATGCACGTGGAACCCAGCCTTGATCTTTATTATTTAAGGGAAGAACTTCAATTGTTTGCAACATTCACCGTCCTCTTTCTCCCTGTCCATTCCCCTCAATCTGTTTCTAGACATTGCCCCACCATGTTAAGAAGATACATTATGAGTGTAGAAGACGAAAAAAACTCCCTCCTACACCCATTTGGTTGATAAGAAGGCATTCTGGTATTGGTAGACACTGGATTTCTATATGTGTGTTAATTATGCAGGAGAACTTAATAGACATAATATTTCCAGCTCAAGTGTCCCAAAGGTACTTTTTCAAGAGGCAACGGGACTTTCTTTGTTTTTCCTTGAAAACATTTCGCTTCTCATCCAAGAAGCTTCAGTTCTTCAGTTCTGACTGAATGGTGGAGAATGGAAGGATTTATGAGGGATTTTCATTCTCCAATCAGAACTGAAGAAGCTCCTTGGATGAGAAGTGAAATGTTTTCAAGGAAAAACAAAGAAAGTCCCGTTGCTTCTTGAAAAAGCACCTTTGAGACAACAATAACCTGGATGACTGAGAATCTCCATAGACATCCCGCTCAATGTTCCCTTTCTCCCAACCTGGTTATTGGAAAGCTAGGCTAAGCATACATCTAAAGGACGCACATTGAAATTTTTCAGGTCTGTTCTGCCTTCGTGAAAGACTAGCATTCACCTAAACCTCCCCATTTCCGATAACTTCGGGCAAATGCAGTTAAAGCCATGGGCTTTTTCTGCTTTGCAGCAAACCCAGAGTCTGATCAAAGAAGGAAGGCTGGAGAAAGCATCAATAGCCAGCAAGCTGAAATAAACTATGAGATCTGAGATTAGGAGGCCTAACATAACAACTGCAAGAAATGGACAGACCGAGATTCATCTGGGATTCAGAGATTCTTCAGTCAGCAAAAGCAAACAGGAGACATAAATCAGGAAAGCTTTTTAAAAAAAGTATGAAAGAAACCATCGAAATTCGAGAAGCTTTTTTTTTTTTTTTTTTTAAAGTTTGAAGAAAGGGTGAAAAAGAATTTATAACATGAGTTCTAAAATCGAGCTGTTTTAAGAAACGGTGAAAATATCCAGACCAAAACAACCTGCTGTTCGCAAAGGAAGGAAAATGACAGTGTGGTCTCTCTTTCTCCTAACTAGAAGGAAATGACTGAAACAGGCTGAGACAGGGGGAAAAAATGTGCATATGTATGTCAGTGTGTGCCAAGAATTTGTATGAAGTGCTGGTGGTTTTTAAATCTGCATAAAAGTTACAAAGAACTTGATTTGGCAACTTTAATAGAGCGAAACTTTATTTTAGCAACAAACGTTGAAAGATGGCTGGAAGGAGGCTTTTGAAATGTGAATCTGTAACTGCCATGAAATGGTTTCAGTCATTGCTATTACTCCAACAATATGAGGGGACAAATTTTGTCCCATTTTACCAGTGTTTCTCAATCTTGGCAACTTTAAGAGGTGGAGACTTCAACTTCAACTTCAGAATTCCCCAGCCAGAATTCTTGGAGTTGAAGTTTCCACACATCTTTAAGTTGCCAAGGTTGAGAATCACTGCATTATATAGCTCAAAAATAAATTACTTTTTTCCAGCCTGTTGCTTTCCAATGTTTTGCTTCATGACTTCCAGAAGGCTCAGCCTATAACACCATAGCATCTGGGACTACAAGAACTATCCTTGGATCGGACCAGTAGCCATTATCAACATGCTACGTCCAAAAACAACAAATACCTGTGGAAGCTCAGAAGTAGAATATCAAAGTAATTTTCCTGTTTTGTTTTCTGTCTCAGCTCCTAAGCCATTTCTGGCTCAATAGAGCTGAACGCAGAGGTCACGTGTAGATGTAATAGATAGGATACAACAATTTTGTTGAAGTCATAACCCATTAATATCTACTCTGAGTAACGATCCAGCTCATCATCTCCTTCCTGATCCTTTATTAGAGATGCTGAATAACGAAACTGGAGGTTTTCTCTATGCCAACAGGCATGCAAGACCCATGATCTCCTCCCAGCTTGAAAATACTGATAGGATCACTTCTTAATGAATATAAATCCATCCATATAACATTTTATTGTCACCTTAGGACAGCAAAATCTATATGTTATAGAATGTACTGTGGACTGTACCAAGAAGAAAAANGAGATGCTGAATAACGAAACTGGAGGTTTTCTCTATGCCAACAGGCATGCAAGACCCATGATCTCCTCCCAGCTTGAAAATACTGATAGGATCACTTCTTAATGAATATAAATCCATCCATATAACATTTTATTGTCACCTTAGGACAGCAAAATCTATATGTTATAGAATGTACTGTGGACTGTACCAAGAAGAAAAATTCCATAGGTTTCTACCCCATTAGTCATAATTCTACTGGTTGTATCTCATGTAGATGGAACAAGAGAAGGACAACCTGCGGTAAAATGGGTGACCAATCATTTGGATAGATAGATAGATAGATAGATAGATAGATAGATAGATAGATAGATAGATAGATAGATAGATAGATAGATAGATAGATAGATAGATAGGTAGGTAGGTAGGTAGGTAGGTAGGTAGGTAGGTAGGTAGGTAGGTAGGTAGGTAGGTAGGTGGATGGACGGACGGATGGACGGACGGACGGATGGATGGATGGATAAGAGAGAGGTATAAAGATAGATCATAGATCATAGATCATAGATAAGAGTGAGAGAGAAAGAGAGAGAGATAAAAATAGATAGACAGACAGACAGACAGACACAGACACACACACACACACACACATACACAGATGTACATCAAGGTTTCTGAAATTCTTTCCAACCTTTTACCAGCACTGGATACAGGCAGCATCTGCATTTCCTGTGTTAATAAATCTGTGTAGATATATGTTTGTAAATGGTATACATGTGTGTGCTTCTTCCCGAGTGTCACTTATGTATGTGTTTGTGTCCATGGGCCTATTGGGAAGCAGAGGGTAACCTTCATACATTCCACTGTGGTCTGCTCTGTTCAGTTTCTGGAAAGTTATCCTGCTGGTGGACGGACAGAGTCTTTTCCATTCTCAGTTGGGTTGGAAAATAGAGGAAAGGAGGAGAAAATGAAATCCTGCATTTCTTTTATTTAGTTATATCACTCTTATTATTTTTATAAATAACTCAAGGTGGCAAACATACCCAATATACCTCCTCCTATTTTCCCCATAACATCAGCCCTGTGAGGTAAATTCAGTTGAGAGAAAGGACTGGCCCGAAGTCTCCCAGCTGGCCTTCACGTCTAAGACAGGACTAGAACTTACAGTCTCCTGGTTTTTAGACTGATGACTTCACCTCCGGCCCAAACTGGCTCCCTGAAAGAAATGGTTTGCTGTTGCCTCTTCCCTTGGGCTGAGAGAAAGTGATTGGCTTAAGGTCACCCAACTGCTTTCTCTCTGAGGTGGGATCGGAATGTATAGTCTTGTGTCTATCCTGGTGCCTTCACCGCTAGATCAGACTGGCTTCTGCTTCACCATTTCTTCATGCAGGTGATATCTCTTGATTGGACTTTCCTGTCAGGCCTGCCTCAACTTGAATCCTAGGCAAGAATGATCCATTACTCCATTTTAAGACAGAGGTATAGTTTTACTAAAGTCAAGTGAAGTACAGTGAAGCAAAGCCAGGTCTGAGGTTCCTGTGCCAATTTCTTAGTGAAATTCTCCCCCCCTCCTCCATTTCCCACATCTGCTCTCCCATTGGTCCCCTTCACAATAATAATAATAATAATAATAATAATAATAATAATAATAATAATAATAATAATAATAATAATAATAATAATAATAATAATAATAATAATAA